AGTTATGCAACCATCACCACCACCTAATTCCAGGACATTTTATCACCCCCAAAGGAAACTTTGTACTCATTAGCAGTCACTCCCCACTCCCCTTCCCCTAATCCCTGACATCCATTAATCTATTGATACCTTAAGTCACAACAGATTGCCACTTCTGGAGAGTTCATAAAATGGAATAATGTAATATATGATCTTTTGTAACTGGCTTCTTTCACTAAGCATAATGTTTAGTTATGCTAAGCATCCACGTTATAGCATGAATCAGTATTTCATCCCTCATTATGGCTGAATAATATTCCACTGCATGGATACACTGCACTTTATCATCAGCTGATGGATCTTTGGGTTATTTACACTTTTTGGCTTTTGTGAACAATGCTGCTGTGAAATTTCATGTACAAATTTTTATGTGGACATATGTTTTCACTTCTCTCGGGTACATACCTAGGAGTGGAATTGCTGTGTCATATGGTAATGTTCTCTTGCTTTTAAAGAACCTTTGTCCTCACAAATATCGCATGTTTCCTCATAACCTTGATTTAACTGTTCCTTTCTTTATACCAAATGGAAAGTTAAAATATTATTGCCTGCTGATATCTCCCTATATTCATGATCTAATCTTAATTTAAAATTTTGACAACCTTCCCAAGCTAATCAGCTATGCAGGAAGAGGAAAAGTACAGAAGATGTGAAATGTGCATCCGTTTTTTAAAAGCTACATCTGTTTTTAAAAGAAGTCACTGAGAACTGTAGAACTTAAGAGACTTTAAAAAACAGGTTCTGATAGTCTATCTTATAATCAGGACGTTTTTCTAGAACCTTGAGCTCCTGTGACCCCCTCCTGTATAAACCAAGGAGACTGCAGTGTGGTGCCTTTTCAGGAGGCCAGGTTCATTGGGAATGAAGAGGAGGGGTTCTCATCCTAATCCCTGGAGTTCACAGTGTGTGTCCCTTTTCTAGATCTTTTCATGACTAATCCAGGTGGTGATACAGACTTTCTTTTTCAATAGTTAATATAAGCTTAACTGGAAATACATAAAACAGGTAAAATATTTCATGGGAATCTCACCCTTAAAATTAGAAAAGAATTTTTCCAGTTATAGTGAATTTACTTTACCTTTAATTTTATTTCAAGAACCATGTCAAGAATGTTTGAACGTCAGGGTGTTTTGATGATTGATCAGGGCAAGAGTGATGAGGAGGCATTGCTTGTAACCTGCCTTATACCTTAGTTTCATTAATAGTAAAATGAATTTTTAAAAAATGTGGCTTCAGTCTCTGAATATTAATGTAAACATTTTAAAAGAGGTTGAATTGGTAAATAGATTCCAGAGAAACTGAAAGCATTTCCACTAAGATCAGGAACAAGACAAGGTTGTCCACTCTCACCACTCTTATTCAACATAGTTTTGGAAGTTTTAGCCATAGCTATCAGAGAAGAAAAAGAAATGAAAGGAATCCAAATAGGAGAAGAAGAAGTAAAGCTGTCACTGTTTGCAGATGACATGATACTATATGTAGAGAATCCTAAAGATGCTACCAGAAAACTACTAGAGCTAATCAATGAATTTGGTAAAGTAGCAGGATACAAAATTAATGCACAGAAATCTCTGGCATTC